AAAACATAAACTTTTTGGGGGGGTGGGTAACTGATTATCTCTTTCACTACACTTCTAGAGAAAAGAATTATCCAACCCAACATGTACAAGCATATATTAGAAAAGATTGATAGGAAAATTTGCATAAGTGTTTTGTTATACCTGGATCTGCAGTTTCTGAACATCTTATTAAATATTGGGAATGTGCATCATCCTTCTGTGAGAATATGTTCTCTGTTTTGAGCATATCACATTCTATCACTTGAAAATCCTTAAAACAGTTGATATTAAACCAAGACAATTATCCTTATACAAACAAAAGGATTTTGTGTAATCTGTCTATAGATATACCTGTGTCTATATATTATTGATATATGTGTATTTTCATGTCCCTCCACTTTTTGATCAGTATGCACATTAATTTAATTTTTTCACCCTAGTTCTGATGAGTGTGGAGTGATAACTAGTTAGCTCAATCTATAGTAGTTTTGTTTTTTTTCTCACTTTACTTATTGCATGTTACTGTATTTGTAGTTTTTTCTTCTCCCTTTTTATTATGTCTGATTTTATTGCATTAATCACTGTCAATACACTCATTGTCAACCTTGACAGGCCAGTCAGTGCTCAGTTTTTTTTATGTAGCTGAGATGCATTTTAGTGATTTATTTGATTTTTCAATAGTTACCAGGCATATTTAAAATACATTAAGAATGGGAATGCTCCTATTGTGTACTTGTTGATATAAACTTAGTTTAGTGCTCACAAGTATCAGATAATTAACCTGAAACATAGTTTGCAGTGTTGAAAGCATTTGTTGACAGTCTCTTGCATCTAATTTTGTGTTGCTCACATTTATGCCATAGAATATGTTGTATGCTTGCCACAGCCAAAGTTTCAGTTTTTCTCCAATTAAGATTTACTTATTTTGATTGTATTTTAGATTCTGGCAAGAAAAACTGTCTATCTTACATATTTATAAGTCTACAATTTGTCCTGGTTTTGAATATTGCTGCCACATCTGGTCTGGTGCTCCTGCTATGTATTTAGAGATTCTTGATAAAAAACAAAGAATTTGTTTTGTTATTGGTCCTGACCTGGCATCTCAGCTTCAGTCTCTTTCCCACTACTGTAATGTAGTTTCCCTGTGCCTGTTTCATAAATAATTTCATTGTTCTGATGAACTTTCTGCTATGGTATCTAGACTTTATGAATTTAAGTGCAGTATTAGATTGGTGGCGAGATGCCATCATTTTACAGTTGAAATGGCTGCGAGATGGAACCGTAAGTTCTATGCCAACAGTTTCTTCTCTTGTTCTTCTCGCTTATGGAACCCTCTTCCAGCTTGCTTTCTAGTCAAGTTTGGTCATCAAAAATTTAAATGCAATCTTGATCAATATCTTCTGTCTTAATTCTTGTTCTTTTATTGTTCTCTCTCCTTAATAGTAGTTTTTCTCATATTCTCTAACACTCGGTAACCCCTTGGTAGTGACTTTATTGCCTTGTTTGGGGTAAAATGATTGAAAAACAAAATTTAAAATATAAATATGTATTTTTCCAATTTATCTTTTTAAATGCTGGTTTCAAATGTAGACTTTTGCAAATATTAACTGACTGAATAAATATAATGAAATATATTATTTGGGATGTGATTTTTTAATCTTTGATATGATCAATATTTTGGCATCTTTCCTTAAGTACAACATTCCACTTTATTAGGTTGTAAGGATTCATTTTTACCAGCTTCACAATGCATTTGCTAACTCCAAGAAAGGCTTTAAGAACTATGTATTAGCTCAATGAAAACTTAAATATTGATTTTCTACTTTTGCTTATAATAATGATGTCTTTTGAGTTCAAACTTTTGATGTTTGCAAATGTAGAAGTGAATTATATATAGCTTTTTTTTATGAAATTTTTGCTCATGTGAAATCATTTCTTGTTGGATCTTTGATTAGCCATTTCCCTATTTATACATGTGTACATCTAAAATCTGCTTATTTCTGTTACTCATTTTTGAATTGTTGTTTATATAAGTTGCCTTTTTTTGTCATGTGACAACCTTTATTTGTTGTATGACAACCTTTACACTTTTCACATTGTGATGAGATTTTGCAAATGTATTTGAAGATGTTTCTTTGAAGATTTACATAATTATAGACTTTCTGTGTCACTAATCTTAAGCAAACGATTTGAAAAAAATATTTGTTTTACTTCAAAACATGGACTATAATGTTAAATTAGTTCTAAACGTAAATGTACGAGAGTCGACTGAAAAGTTCATAGGCTGACCAAGATACTCACATGGAATGTGACCAAATGAGGTTTATTTTTCAACATAGCCCCCCTTTGCAGTTCACTCACTTCTTCCATTAATTTTACAGTGCTTGGATCCCATTGCCGAAGAATCTTTCATTCTGTTGGTCAAAAAGTCCTAAACAGCAGATATGATATTATACTCATTGTGATACTGGTTCCCAGCCAAGTGCTTTATCATGTTAGGGAACAGATGATAGATGGGGCCAAATCAGGAGAATAGGGAGAGTGATCAACCAGTTCAAAGCAACAGTCAAGCACAACTGCCATTAAAACCAAGGGCTTGTATGCTGGAGCATTGTCTTGATGAAATAACACCTCTTTTGTCAGTTTTCCTGGGTATTTGGTCTTGATAGTCTTGTAACTGCTTCAGCAATTTGGCACAGTAGTCTCCATTGATGGTGTGACACTTTTGAAGATAGTCAATAAGCGCAATGCCTTTTGCATCCCAAAAAATTGAGGCCATCACCTTTCCTACTGCTGAAATGACCATGACTCTTTTTGGAGCAGGTGAGGAAGGATGCTTCCACTACATGGATTGTCTCTGACTCAGTGATGAACCCAACACTTATTCTGGGTTAGGAAATGTTCAAAGAAACCAGCTGGATTAGGTGTCAGAGGATGTGGCACCCACTGAACAGAAACCTTCATCATGCTACTAGTTGCATTTGAAATGTTCTTTGAACAGTCAGGTGTCAGTTTAACTAGAAAGAAACAATGCAGTTATTAATAAGAGTTGAAATTAATGCATGTAAGATTTCACAGCTCTAGTATCACCCCTTCTTAGACAGCCTATGAACTTTTCAGCCTACCCTTGTATTGCATTCTTAGTGTTAGATTTATGCTCTTAGAGATTATTGAAATGCTTTTGTAAAAAAAGCAAAAAATGGTTTCATTTTAAAATCCTTGCTTGTTTTCAAAATTGACTTTTACTAAATTCTGCTCTTGCCTAAATATAATGTATAATAAATAAGCTTTACAAGTATTTGTAACCAAATTTTTATATTTTTCTCCTTGTTTTTCATTTTTAGGTATTAGATGGTGAACCAGACGATTTATGCTCTTCATCTTCAGTAGAAAAAGGTGAAGACGCTGTGTGCACTTTGCAACCAAAAACTCAAAGTGACCACATGCTAATACCATTAGTCAGAAAGGAACAAACAAAAGAATCAGATCCAAACTACAAGTGTAGCCAAGGGTGTCCTGAAACTTATGAGAATTGCTCATCATCATTGGTTCATAAGATATTCCCACAGCTTTCATGTAAAAACATTGTCAAAGAAGAGAATAGTAAGTCTTTGAAGGTTGTTGTTTCAACAAACCAAGAAAAATCAGATGAAAAATCAGATATTGCATTCTCAGAATCTTTGGAAGAACCTGTAAGTAAATGTTCTGCTACTGAAAAGGCTGAGAAACTCTGTGAACCTTCTGTTGATTTTATAACACCATTTGTTAATCAGGAGTCTGAGATTTGTAAGACCTTTCATGATATAAATCCTTGTGCAAAGTCTTCTGAAAACCAGGAACAGCCCAGTGAAATCACTTTAAATGTTGTTTCTCAACTGAGCAAATCAAGTGAAGCTTTTACAAATGCCAACCATCAGTCAAGTAAACTTTCAGAAACTTCAGTTTTGAAACTTGAAAAGCAAAACAAACCTACTACATCCGAAACTGAACTTGCTTTAAATACAGCTTCATCTTGTGAGGAACACTTGACTATTGTCTCTAAAGTTCAACAGCTGGACGAATTAGCTGTCTTCCACCCTGAAAGGTTGATTGAACCAAGTATAAATAAGGCTCTTCACTCTGAAGATTCATTGACTGAAAAGCAGAGTGAACCAGAAGTAAATACTGACATACAGCTAAAAGAATCTGCAGATCTGGTTGATGATATTCCTGTTCAATTTGAGAAAACTTCAGTGAATTTTGTAACAGAGAAATCCAAACAAAACATTGTTGCAGTTCACTCTAGAGTTGCAACCGAAGAAATAAAATCTGAACTTACAGAAACAAAAATTTTGGTAGAAGGTGAATCTGTTGAATCCTTGTCAAATTTTGTCTCCTCAAAAGAAAATCTGCCCTGTAGTGAAAAATCTGCCCATCCACCAAAAGAGAAGTCACCAGTTGTGTCAACATCTTCATCCACTGCTGAAGCTATTCCTTTGCCTAACACACATTTGGCAATGGAATCATTGACCACAGGTACTGAAATGCTTTCTATTTCCAGTCTTGAGGACAACTTGGGCAGTAGTCGGGAAGTTAGTCCTTCTGGTGATGATCTGTTGGAGACGCTTGCCTATGTGCCTGACTTGGATGATACAGATGATGTTGATCTGGAAATGGATGAATGTGACTTGCCAGATGAAGAGGAGTTGAAAGTTTTAGAGAATTCTGACAATGGAGAATTAGATTTGTTGGAAAGCAATGTATCTCCAACCGTAACAGTTGACAACACTGCTGCTCCTGTAACTACCACTATCCCTAACAATAACCCTTCTACTACCACTACTACTAGTGCTGTCTCCTCTCTGGAGACGTCCACTACCACCACCACCATTACAACTACCACCACTACTGCCACTTCTTCTACGGCTACCAGCAGCAGCAACAAAAAGAAAAACAAAAAAAATGTAACCAATAATAATAATAATAATAATAATAATACAACAGAGTCATTAAAGGCTGACAACAAGAATAATAATGCCAACATGTCTGGCAAGAGTGACCAGAAGAAAATAGAGAGCAAAGAGCAGGGTCTTAAATCACAAAAATCCAACTCTAAAAATAAGAAAAAGGACGATAAATCAACTGGTAGGTATTCAACCAATTTAATTTGGGAAATGATATGTAGATACATGTATATTAAAGAGCTGAAAAACTTTCCCCTTCATTCTTTTAGCTTTTCTTTACCATGACATCCTAATAGAATAACTTCAGCTATTAAAGGTCTTAGTGTCGAAAAAGATTGTCAGTCAGTTCTGTGCCATGTGTGATACAGACTTAAGCGATTATGTATCTTTCGATACATGACTGATGAGGCAGATTTTTTTTCCTGCAGTAGGTTGCCATTTCTTTCTGCAGTAGACCAGTTGCCATCCAAGGTTATAGAACCCGGTCTGTCCTACTGTTTACCCATAGCTGGGGAGAGAAGAAGAGGATTAATACCTTTCCCAAGGGTATTAGCACATAAGTGAATGTAATGGATTCGACTGGAATTTGAACTTGACTCTCCGATTCCTCAATCCGTGCTGCTATCCATTACTCCATCGTGTCTCCCCATAAAAGATTACATCTGGTATTAATATATTATAAAATGAATTAAATTGATGAGGGCTCTCGTCATTTTGATTTTGAATGTGAAAAAGTTTTTGAGTATGCAAATCATTTTCTTGTGTTAGCAAAATGCATACCAAAACTTTTTGTAGAAAGTTTGATCAGTTGTATAGGTTTAGATAAAAATAACATTTGTTAAACATATTTGTGATATATTTAGATGCTAGGGAATAATTGTTCTGGAAGACTATCAACTCTGTTTTTTTTTTTTTTTTTT